GCGTTCAAAACGTCATTGGAATCCCGATTCTAAGCCATAAAGTATGGTGCACTAAACTATCAAGTAGTCATTAGGATGTGTCTGTCAGGTGTTCACAACATCCACAGACGACGTTGTAGGGGTTTGCACATCGAGCGGTGCATCAAAGACGTAAGCCTTCTGTGTAGCAGTGAGGACACTCCTCGGACTACGGACCTAGTCCGTATCAGTGCTCACAATATCTTTCAACTTGGTCTTTCTCTAGGAACGTATTGAAACAGGGAGCTACAACGGGAGCTATTTATCTACAACATATTTGCAAAGACAATTTAGACTATGTTCATGATAATTGAGTTCATTTAATGAACTTCCACTCAGATAGACATCCCTCTAGTCATCTAAGTGAATAATGATCCGAGTCAACTAGGCCGTGTCCGATCATCACGTGAGACGGACTAGTCAACATCGGTGAACATCTTCATGTTGATCGTATCTTCTATACGACTCATGCTCGACCTTTTGGTCTTCCGTGTTCCGAGGCTATGTCTGTACATGCTAGGCTCGTCAAGTCAACCTAAGTGTTTTTGCTGTGTAAATCTGGCTTACACCCGTTATATTCGAACGTTAGAATCTATCACACCCGATCATCACGTGGTGCTTCGAAACAACGAACCTTTGCAATGGTGCACAATTAGGGGGAACACCTTTCTTGAAATTTTAGTGAGGGATCATCTTATTTAAGCTACCGTCGTTCTAAGCAAATAAGATGTAAAACATGATAAACATCACATGCAATCAAATAGTGACATGGTATGGCCAATATCATTTTGCTCCTTTTGATCTCCATCTTCGGGGCTCCAAGATTATCGTTGTCACCGGCATGACACCATCATCATGATCTCCATCATTGTGTCTTCTTGAAGTTGACTCGTCATCTATTACTTCTACTACTATGGCTAACACTTTAGCAATAAAGTAAAGTAATTACATGACGTTTATGTTGACAAGCAGGTCATAAATAAATATAGACAACTCCTATGGCTCCTGCCGGTTGTCATACTCATCGTCATGCAAGTCGTGATTCCTATTACAAGAACATGATCAATCTCATACATCACATATATCATTCATCACATCCTTTTGGCCATATCACATCACAAGGCATATGCTGCAAAAACAAGTTAGACGTCCTCTAATTGTTGTTGCAAGTTTTTACGTGGCTGCTATAGGTTTCTAGCAAGAACGTTTCTTACCTACATGAAAACCACAACGTGATATGCCAATTTCTATTTACCCTTCATAAGGACCCTTTTCATCGAATCCGATCCGACTAAAGTGAGAAAGACAGACACCCGCTAGCCACCTTATGCAACTAGTGCATGTCAGTCGGTGGAACCAGTCTCACGTAAGAGTACGTGTAAGGTCGGTCCGGGCCGCTTCATCCCACGATGCCGCCGAATCAAGATAAGACTAGTAACGGCAAGCAAATTGACAAATCGACACCCACAACAACTTGTGTTCTACTCGTGCATAGAAACTACGCATAGACCTAGCTCATGATGCCACTGTTGGGGAACGTAGCAGAAATTCAAAATTTTCTATGCATCACCAAGATCAATCTATGGAGTAATCTAGCAACGAGGGAAGGAGAATGCATCTACATACCCTTGTAGATCGCTAAGCGGAAGCGTTCAAGTGAACGGGGTTGATGGAGTCGTACTCGTCATGATCCAAATCACCGATGATCCTAGTGCCGAACGGAAGGCACCTCCGCGTTCAACACACGTACATCCCGGTGATGTCTCCTACGCCTTGATCCAGCAAGGGGAGAAGGAGAGGTTGGGGAAGACTCCATCCAGCAGCAGCACGACGGCGTGGTGGTGGTGGAGGAGCGCGGGACTCCGGCAGCTTCGCCAAGCACTACGAGAGACGAGGAGGGAGAGGGGTAGGGCTGCGCCAACAGGAAGATTGAATCGTGTGTTGGGCTGCCCCTTTGCTCAAGTATATATAGGGGAAGGAAAGGGGTTGCGCTCCCACCTAGGGTTCCCTCCCTAGGGGTGGCGGCAGCCCCCAGATCCCATCTGGGTGGCGGCCACAAGGGGGAGAGGGGGAGGCGCACCTGGGTGGGCCTTAGGGCCCATCTGCCCTAGGGTTTGCCCCCTTCCCCTCTTGGAGGCGCCTTGGGCCTTGGTGGGAGGCGCCCCAGCCCACCTAGGGGCTGGTCCCTTCCCACTATTGGCCCATGTAGGCCTCCGGGGCTGATGGCCCCACCTGGTGGACCCCTGGACCCCTCCGGTGGTCCCGGTACACTACCGGTGATGTCCGGAACACTTCCGGTGGCCAAAACAATACTTCCTATACATTAATCTTTACCTCCGGACCATTCCGGAACTGCTCGTGACGTTCGGGATCTCATCCGGGACTCCGAACAATATTCGGTAACCGCGTGCATACTTTCCCTATAACCCTAGCGTCATCGAACTTTAAATGTGTAGACCCTACGGGTTCGTGAGTCATGCAGACATGGCCGAGACAACTCTCCGGTCAATAACCAACAACGGGATCTGGATACCCATGTTAGCTCCCACATGCTCCACGATGATCTTATCGGATGAACCACGATGTCAAGGACTTAATCCATCCCGTATACAATTCCCTTTGTCTAGCGGTACGATACTTGCCCGAGATTCGATCGTCGGTATCCCGATACCTTGTTCAATCTCGTTACCGGCAAGTCTCTTTACTCGTTCCGTAACACATCATCCCGTGATCAACTCCTTGGTCACATTGTGCAGATTATGATGATGTCCTACCGAGTGGGCCCAGAGATACCTCTCCGTTCACACGGAGTGACAAATCCCAGTCTCGATTCGTGCCAACCCAACAGACACTTTCGAAGATACCTGTAGTGTACCTTTATAGCCACCCAGTTACGTTGTGATGTTTGGCACACCCAAAGCACTCCTACGGTATCCGGGAGTTGCACAATCTCATGGTCTAAGGAAATGATACTTGACATTAGAAAAGCTTTAGCATACGAACTACACGATCTTTGTGCTAGGCTTAGGATTGAGTCTTGTCCATCACATCATTCTCCTAATGATGTGATCCCGTTATCAATGACATCCAATGTCCATGGTCAAGAAACCGTAACCATCTATTGATCAACGAGCTAGTCAACTAGAGGCTTATTAGGGACATTGTGTTGTCTATGTATCCACACATATATCTGAGTTTCCTATCAATACAATTCTAGTATGGATAATACACGATTATCACGAACAAGCAAATATAATAATAATCAATTTATTATTGCCTCTAGGGCATATTTCCAACATGCATTTCTTGAGACCATCCGGAAGATCGAGAACCATGATTCGCACAACCAACTCTAGCATGATCTTATTGAGCATCGATGGCAACTCTATGTGGGTGAGGGTGGGGGGGATAGATCCCCATTTTTATTCATTTCTATTCGTGTGAGATTTGAACAATTTGTTGTTGTAATAATTATTTAAATTTGAACATTTGTTCTAATGAAAACTATTGTTGTATTGTGAATTGCTTTTCAGACCATTCATATATTCGTATGTTGAATTTATATTACGATTCCATTCGATCCATATTATTGACATGTGTAATTTATTCGATGCTATGTAAAATTTACGGTGTCGTAAGCGCTCCTGCGGAACAGATCTCGTCCCATAAGTTTGTGGGATGTGTTTACGTGATCTGTTCCACCGGAGCGCGCACCGTTTAAAAAGTTTTGCCAGCCCCTTGAACGCGTTTTGCGGGACGTCCGGTTGCGTGGTCTGCTAGAGATGCTCTAATGCGAGCGGTTTTGAAGATGATGGTTACAAATCAAACAAATCAAACCGACTGGTTAGTTCAATGTTGAAATGTGGACAAATCAAACCGAGCGGTTTTGAGGTTTGCTGTTGCCAAAAAAAAAAGAGTACACAAAAGTCCATGGAAGGCACGTCGCAAATTGGTCGTTCAGCCCATCTACCCATGGGCTGAGAACCGGCCCTCCCCCTCCAGGCCATCTCAGGATTCCGGCCCAAGTCCGACGTTCCGAGCTCTCCAGAATTCTCTTCCCGTTTCCCCCTTCCTCCAGAAGCACAAGGAAGCGATCCACACACTACACCGAGCCATCAAACCAACACTTCATCAGATCGAACCGAGCCAGATTGACCGGAGCCGAGAACCGAGGCAACGAGGGATCGCGCGAGAAAAATTCAGAGGAAATCGGCAGCGATCGGGAGGCGCGGCGATGTTCTTCTTCTTCGTAGGCGGCGTGGAGCAGGGCGCGGGGCGGGTGCTCAAGGAGGCGGCCGGGCGGTGCGTGCGCTGCGGCGGCGCGGCCGACCTGGTGGAGACCGAGAAGGTGCTCAAGCTCTTCTTCGTCCCCGCGTGGCGGTGGCCGGGCAAGGACCCCGCCTACCTCTGCCGCGACTGCGGCCTCCTCGCGCCGGGGTCCCACGGCGCCGGCGGCGGGGAGCTCCTCCCCCGCGCGGGGGCGGGGCAGTGCGGCGCGTGCAGCCGCGCCGTCGACCCGCAGTTCCGCTTCTGCCCCTTCTGCGGCTCCGCGCTGTGAAGCGCGCCATGGATGGATGCGCGTGCAGGCCACGGCCCAGAGAGGAGCAGAGGTGATGATCCTCTCTCTCTCTCTCTGAACTCTCAAGACAGTAGTAGTACTAGGGTTGTGCAGCAGAGTTGTCAGTTAGCTTCTGGTTCTGCGAAAGTTGTGCTAACCTGTGTGGATGTAAATTTGGTGAAATGTTTGTAATAAACGAGACCGATAAAATTCGTCGCATCATCGGCAGCGCACACTACACAAAATCTCAAAACTCAGTTTGCACTTTCAAGCAGAGACGATCATCATTCACCACAACGGGAACAGCCTACGAGCTGTGACCCGTGTGGTGATTTACACAGCTGAATTATGGAAGACGGAAGAACATGGCATAGATGAAGAACCAAGACATGCTTGCACATAACTACATAAGCCAGTGATCAATCTACACGGCTTTCCCGTATCCTTGACCCTGAGGGGGAGCAGCGGGGTGGAACTGTCCGTACCCCTGAGCAGGAGGAGGGTACTGTCCTCCATACCCCTGCGCGTTTGGAGGGGGAGGGTACTGCCCGTATCCCTGCGCGTTCGGAGGCGGAGGGTAGTGCGCGTACGGCGCCTGCCCGTACATCGGAGCAGGGTGGCCCATCGCGATGCCGTCGGGCTTGTGCTCGCCCGCCGACGACGGCCCCGCCACGGCCCCCGGGTATCCCGGCGCAGCAGCCGCTGCCGTTGCCGTGGCCGTGGCCGCGGCGGCGCGAAGCAGGAAGTAGGACTTGATCCCGAGCACGGTGGCGATGATGCTCAGGATGGCCGCCCTCCTGAACACGCCGTCCCTGACGAAGTAGCACCCCGTGTTGACCTCGCGCGTCACCGGCGCGTTCCACGCCGCGCCCTGCACGAAGTAGATCTCCGCGATCACCGTCGCCACCCTGCACGCACATACAGCATATTCATCCCCCGTTGAATTGTTCGTCGCCTGGATCGAATCGGGGCGCGCGCGGAAGGAGGCTCACCATGAGAGGACGGCGAAGACGACGCCGATGTTGCGCCTGGACGCGGAGAAGGCGGCGCCCCGGGGCTTGCAGCAGCCGCAGCAGCGGCCGGCGGCCGAGACGGTGATCTGGGCCGCCAGCAGCAGGAGCGCCGCGACCAGCCCCAGCGCGAACGCCGGGTTGGCGGGGTACACGCACTCGGTCCTGGACATCGAGATGTCATTCGGCTGCGCGCCGCGAGCACAAGCATCCCGATGTCAGCTCAGTTTCTTTGAGATTTAGACGGATGAACACAAGCGTATACTTACCTCGAGCTTGGTGCCCTCGGCGATGAGCCCCAGCACGGCGCTTCCGACCCCAAAGAATCCCACCACGACGGACACGACGATCACGCTCGTCTCCATTTCTCCAGCAATCTTTCAGCCGATGTCTCCCAGACCGAGAGGCTGCGAGATGGATGGGCGAAGACTTGAGACCTCAAGTTGAGAGGCGTGACCAAATGGGCTGATGCCTAGCAGAGTAAGCCGATGAGGTCGTCTCGTCAGGCGATTACTTCCTCCGTTCGAAATTACTTGTCATCAAAATGGATGTATCTAGAACTAAAATACATCTAGATACATTCATTTCAATGACAACTATTTCCAAACGGAGGGAGTAGTTTTTTCTTCACGCGTATTCTTTGTCCATATAAACAACCATTGTTACTGGCACCGGCTGGTGGGGAAAGCGAGGTCAAGATCGCTGACGATCACACGTAGTCGTATGCGGAAAGATCAACGCGCGACAAGTCTGATATCATGGCTGATCGGTGATGAAAATGACGCGGTTACTTTGATGCCAACTTGATCGGCTAGCAAAGGGGACACGTACGTAAGCTCACGACTTGTTAGCCGTGAATTCGTGCTCCGATTTTGCAGCGCCGGTAGATATTTTAGCGAAGCACTTCACGGTGAAGGCCAATGCTTGGTCTTGGGGTAGAAGATAGGTTGGGTGGCGCGCACGCAGCCTTCGCGGATTGCTTAATCAAAGGACACCTTACTCTTTTCTTTTTCCAAATAAAAGGACACCTAACTTTACCTGACAAGCTAGTGATGGCAGAGTCAACTTGCAACGCAAGACGTGCATTTGTCAGGTTTAAGGATGCTGGCCGCTGATTGCGACTGTTTCGGAAGCCGATATGCTGTGAGCACTTGTATAGACCTTTTTTTTTGTGAGATGAGCACTTGTATAGACCATGATCAGCTGGCGGCCGGCCGATGCCTACCAATAATGCTCGATGGAGTCGAACAGTATGCACTATGCCGCAGAATGTACCACGGCACTGTTCGTCACCTATTCTTGGCACCATCTGAAAAAAAAATTCTTCCCTATTTAACATAAATTTTAAATTTTATTTCCTATATGACATTTCCATTCATTTTGAGCCTAAATGACACCTGAAAAGACTCTTTTGCCCCTCATATGTTATGTGTGTAGGGGGCAATAGCGGACACACGCAGCACCAGTGCGAGGACAAGAGCACACACGCAGCAACATATACACATGCATCAACACACACGCACGCGCACACACACACACGCAACAACACATACGCGCACGTGCACACACACACACGCAGCAACACACATGCACGCGCACGCACACACGCAGCAACACGCACGCAGCACACACACACATACACAAACACGCAGCAGCAGCACACACACAGGCAGCACATAGGCACGCAACAGCACACACACACGCACATACAAACGCAGCGGCACACATGCACACACACATGCAACAGCAGCACACATGTGCGTGTGCACCCACACATGCAATAGCACACACGCGCGCACACACATACCGCATGAGGGGCAAAATCGTCTTTTCAGGTGTCATTTAGGCTCAAAATGGACGGAAGTGTCGTATAGGGAATAAAATTTAGGACTAGTGTCAAATACGGAAGAAAAACTTTTCCAGTGTCAAATAAGGAATCAGATTTTAAGACAGTGTCAAATAAGAAATTTTCTCCTGAAGATAAGACCAACTGAAGAACAACATGACTTCAGCAGGCATCCAGGGCGACGGAAGCAACATTTGGAACATTGCTTACCACAGGAGTTTAACCGGAGTAAACTACTTAAGCTACTCCCTTCGATTCATATCAATTGACGCACATTTAGTACAAGACAAAGTGATACTTCCTCCATTTTAAAATGTAAGACATTTTTTAACACTACAATAATTTTGATAGAGGAAGTACATAGCAAGGACCAAAAGTATCGCCTTCGACTCAACTCCAAAACTTCATTGTATCCTGAGCACCCCAATGCGCCACCCTTGAACAACATGAAAAACCATTAGCGTATACATGAACCAACTTTCGAAACTCAACCATACTACGTACATATATTACAGACTGAATTAATAAAACCCTTTACGGGTCGCGCAAAGAGCGCCCTCTCAGCTAGGCCACGTCAATGATTTTTACTGTCGCAGGTACCCTAGATAACACCTCCCCACGTAATTTTTTCCTTATCTTCGTCACTAAGCAGCCCAGCACGCGACCTCCCCCTCTCTCTCGTCTCGTTTGGCTGCGAGCACG